GATATAGATCCAGAACTTATAGAAAAAGTTTTTAATAAATGTTTAATTTGTATTGAAGATCTCATATTGTCAATGGGCGGAGATGTCTTATCAAGTTATGGTTTACCCAAGGCAATTAGAGATAAAGAGTTTTTGGAAAACATTGATTACTTGCGAGAAATAAATTTTGAATGCAATGAAGCTCAAGTAAGAAACGAGGAAAATTCCCTTACTCTTGAACAAAAAAACTGTTATAAAACAATCTTAGACAGCATTGACGCTGGAAACGGAGGAATGTATTTTTTGGATGCTCCTGGTGGCACTGGAAAAACGTTTCTTTTAAATTTGCTATTGGCAAAAATTAGACAAGATAAAAAAATTGCATTAGCTGTTGCATCTTCAGGAATTGCGGCCACGCTCTTAACCGGAGGACGGACAGCCCATTCAGCATTTAAGCTTCCTTTTGATTTAATAAATATAGAAACACCTTATTGTAACATTTCCAAACAGTCTAATATGGCATTCGTCCTTAAACATTGTAAACTCATTGTTTGGGATGAATGTACTATGGCTCATAAAGGTGGATTTGAAGCTCTTGATCGATCGATAAAAGACATAAAAGGCAATGACTTATTAATGGGAGGTATTACCGTTCTATTAGCTGGAGATTTTAGACAAACACTCCCAGTTGTACCCCGAGGAACAAGGGCTGATGAGATAAAATCTTGCATAAAATCTTCCTTTTTGTGGTGTAAAATACACAAAATGGCTCTTACAAAAAAAATATGCCCGTACATTTTACTAGGTGATGAAATTTTAACTCTACTTAAAATAGGAAATGGAGATTATCCGACGCTTGAGGGCAAAATAAAATTGTCATCAAGCTTGGGTACTGTAGTAAGCACATTGGAAAAGCTTACTTCTAAAATTTTTCCTGATATTTCAGAAATCTTACATAAGTCATTGGACTGGTTATCAGAACGAGCCATTTTAACTTCAAGAAATGACAGAGCTGCTTCAATTAATGATCAGCTAATAAAATCATTTAATGGAGAGCAAGTTACATACAAATCAATAGACTCTGTTACTGAGCCAGAAAATGCTGTACATTATCCTGTAGAATTTCTTAACCAGCAGAATCCAGCTGGACTCCCATTGCATATTCTTTCGCTTGAGGTCGGAACACCAATTATGTTATTAAGAAACATAAAACCCCAAAAATTATGCAATGGAACAAGATTGCAAGTGAAAACTCTTCACAAATTTGTTATTGAAGCCGTTATTTTTACTGGCTGCGCCAAGGGAGAGACAGTATTCATACCAAGAATTCCCTTAACGTCATCAAACTTACCTTTTGAATTTAAACGCCTACAGTTTCCTGTAAAGGTTTGTTTTGCGATAACAATAAATAAATCACAAGGACAGACTTTGAAAGTAGCTGGATTAGACCTTAGGGAAGAGTGTTTCTCCCACGGCCAATTTTATGTGGCCTGTTCAAGAGTCAGCTCGGCAAAGAGCCTTATGATCCTGTCTCATGATGGTCAAACAAAGAATGTCGTTTACAGAGAGGTTTTAAAATAAGAATATATTAAAAATGTTTTAATTGTGGACTAGGCCTATTTGGGGAAACCACCTTAAATAAAAACGCGCCGTATCCTCTACCTTCGGGTGGTGTGGAAATGGGGATTCATTTTAGTTTCAGTTAAAAACTGAAAGTGTAAAGAAAGAAAACCTCAATTACATCTATATATAAAACTGTTCATTGAAAACCAAGAATCAACGCACAGCCTAAACTAATTAAATGACCCTATTAAAATTTTTTACCATTCAATTCTTATAACACTAAACTGATTTGCTAAGATTTATTTTGGCCACAAACATGCCCCCATTTTCTTCCAGTGGCAAAAAAACCCCCAATTTCTATAAAAAAAATCTGGACGCTAAACGCGTTAATCAATCGATGCGATTTTTGGACAAAAATTTAGTCCTCTACATAATAAAGATTCTATTTAATTTAATATTCGATATTTTAATGTTTACTATTTTTTATCAATCTCTGAAAATCTAAGAATCTTCCTCATTTTTTCCAAACGGCAAAAAAACACTGATCTAAGTCAATTAGCAATATGAAAATTTATCGAGGGAATCCTGATACTTTAAGGATTCATATGGTGGTTTTACTGAAGCTCTAGGTCAATTCTAAAAAAAGTTACATTAGCCTAAAGTAGGAATAATAATTCCAACAAATTATACACAAGCATTGAACACCGAATGCATTCTCTCGCACTGTCTCTCTCTCTCTCTCTGACTCTGTGTATCTTGATTTCTTTTTAAAACATAAAATTAAAAACTTAAAACTAAATTAAACTTAACAATAAATTAAAATTAAATTATACCAGCAACACACACGAATAAACCCCGTCAAAGCGTTCAAGCCGCTGGGCTTTGGAAGAAGGGCAGGAAGGCAGTCATCATCTCTATATATAAAGCTATCAGTAAGAAAACTGGGAATCAACGCACAGCCAATACCACTGGCTAACAATATTAATATGCATTTTTATTACGTTCTAATAACTTTAAACTGATTTGCTAAGATTTATTGGGGCTCCCCAAGTGGCCCCAATCGCTTCCAATTGGAAAAAGGTCAATTTTCCTTTCAAAAATTCTGGACGCTAAACCGTTTTAGCAATCGAATCCGTGTTTTCGCCCAAAAATAGTTAAAGACATTATAAATGTTTAGACCGCTTAGATTTAAGGCTTTTTACTATTTTTAACACCCGTTCTAAAATTACAATTTAGCCAAAAATATCTTCAAACGTCGAAAAATGGCACTTCTAAACTGAGTATCAAAAATTCCTTCGGTAAAGTTTATCCTTAGGCTTTAACGATTCATTTGATGGTTTAAAGCTCTAGCTATCTTCTAAACAAAGAAACTAAGCAAAAAGTCGATCTATTATCGAATTTAAGTGTCTCCATAAGCACCATACGTTTTCTGCCTGCATATTTGTATAATTGTCAACAAATGTCAACAAATGATTCCATCTCCCTCCCTCTCTCTCTGCCTTGCATTTCCGTACGCTTCCTTAAAAATATAAAATGAGCTTTAATACGGTTTTAATATCTGTAGACATTAGTTTATAGTTATTGGTGACCCAAAAGATTGCAAAGACTTCAAAATGGTCATTAACGATGTTAAAAAGCCAGCAAATGCTCATAGAGGTCGTTATAATGCACCTCAAACAAATGAAGTGGGTTTGGTATTAGTTGATCAACAATTTCCAAGTCGGGATATTGTTATTGAGAGTCATAATAGCAATGTGAACTTTACCGATCTTATGACTGTCTACAATATCCATTAATTTTTTGCCACGGATATGATGGATATTCCATAAATATTCCCCAACGGGATCCGTTAACTAAAAATGATCTAAAGAAGACTGTATCTGCATTAAGCTTTTACAGTTATCGAATAATTCTTAGGGAGACTGAAGTCAATCACTTGAATTATTATAGAGCTCTGTTTAATCAATTTTTGGTTGATATGAGTGCAAAAATGGAAACCGAACGGCTTAATTATATTCGAGCAAATCAAAAAAAGTTGGGAGCAGAAAGTTACGTATGTACATCTTCAAGACGCTATAGGTAGGGGAGATGCAGATATGACTCAACTTGGTCAGATGGTGATTTTACCTTCCACTTTTACAAGCTCTCCTCGATATATGTATGCATGAAAAGACCCAGGATGCCATGACTTATGTTCGACATCATGGCCGACCTGATATTTTTATAACATTTACCTGTAACCCTAAATGGGAGGAAATAACGAATGAGTTGTTTCCATATATCATATCTCGAGTCTTTCATTTAAAAGTTAAAACATTAATGGCGCTGTTGGTTAAAGGCCAATTGTTTGGTGAAGTACAGTGTTTTATGTATTCTATTGAATGGCAAAAACGTGGTCTGCCCCATGTCTACATACTTATTACATAAGAAAAGTAGGATATTGGGGTTATCCATCGCAAGCGAAGCTGCGGGCACCCTGCTAGTGTTTAATAAGTGCATTACGGGGTACCTCACGACCAGACCACTTCCCTTTACCTGAAATACATGGAAATCATGGCGGGATCATCTTATAGTTTGGGCCTGTATGGCAGCTTCTGGCGGGGCAACCTCGTTTTTTTTGAAGTTATCATGGATGGCCAAGATATACCTACAGATTTATAAGGAAAACCTGCTCCAAACTGCTGAAAAACTGGGCATACGCGATCGATTTCGATTTTACCAGGACAACGATCCGAAACATTCAGCAGGAATTGTGAAGATTTAACTTGTCTGGAACTGCCCTCATGTCGTCATAACGCCAGCACAGTCTCCAGATTTAAATGTGATCGCAAATTTATGGGAAATATTGGACATCGCTATAAGGAAGAGGAAGATTTCGAACAAAAACGACTTGAAGTGTTCTTATGGAAGAATGGCCAAAAATTCCAGTGGAAACCACTAAAAAGTTAGTTTCTTCCTTGGGAATTCGTCTCAAGGCTGTCGTGAACCAGAAAGGAGGACATACCAAATATTAGCTTATAAATTACAAATAATAAGTTAAGAAGAATGAACTGCACGAAATAAACTGCGGCTTGAAAAAAGCCTGCACATTTTGTTTTTATTTAATAAGTATTTTGTTTTTACGATTAAGAAAATCGTTTTAATTTAGTAAACAAGTTAATATTCCCTTTTAAAATACTGCATTTAAATTTTTCTGTTATGTTTCTTAGTTTAGCTGGAATAACGACTTGAACTTTTTTTTAGGTAACTGCACGAAATAAGCTGCGATCCACTGTATGTATTCTTTACAGGAAAGGAAGGATGTTTTCACAGCGTTTCAGCTGAAATTATAATACCATTACTGTGAAAGTCATCCCGGCCTTCATCTGTTAGGATACCAAAGCTGCATTCCGAGTTTTTAATATAAAAGTATGTATGCCCTTATTAATGAACTTCCAAAAATATAAATGCATGACATGTATATTGTTCTCACAGTGCATGTAGATATCGTAAATAATGCACAAAATGTTTTATTTAAACGAGAATAAAACGGCTACAATTTATCGTTTTCTATGCATGTGTTCACGGTTCTTACGCTTCCAGGCAGCACGCCTAGATCCACCGATAGTCTGGGAGTATCTATATCCCTTTCCTATTCCACGCGAGCTCTTTCCGGCTGACGTAAGGCCACGCAACTCGCGATGCTTGTGGACATGTTTGCAGATCCAGTTGATTTTTGGATCACGGCGAATAGCACTGTGATGAGTGTCAATCAAAATTACCTCAAAATACTTATAAGAAGCATCTTGCGCAATCCAATACGAGTTCAAGACTCTCAAGCCACCAAGTCGTCGGCCAACACGTTCCTAGAAAAAAAGTGATTTAGTACTTGTAGTATAACATGGACCGCATGTTTGGCAAGATTTGTGTCAGACATCTAAGGAAGTTTAAGAGTCAACATAGTTTGTATGTTAAGATTTGTTGTCATCAAGATTAAAGCTATAATTGTTTATAATTTTTTTAGTTCTTACCTCGGCAATGGATTGTAACCCACGGTATGGCTTTAGTTGGTTTACACCGTGACTCTTCGGCTTACCGTAGGTGCAGCCTTTAGGTACTGGACGCTTGCGGCCACCGCGACGGACACGAATTCTATAAATCACGAACCCTTGCTTTGCACGATATCCCAAACGCCTTGCCTTGTCCGGTCGAGTAGGTCTTGGTGAACGATGTAGTTTGGTTAGTTGGCGGTATTGCCACACGCGAATACGAAGTAAGTATCGCATAACATCACTCTGTTTCTTCCTATACAGTTCCTGCATGTACCGGTATGCCCCCATCTTCGCAAATTGATAGACCTAGTAACAAATTTACACGTTATTTAATAACTGTCACATCATCGGTCCATCAACTCTTCCAACTGTACTAAAAATGTACATTTTAGTATCTACAATACAAATACAATATAATATGAATGTGCACAAAACATCTCATATACAAAATGTGTTCACAAATAATTCAGCAATCCATAATCAACACCAAAAGATTAAGAGTGGTGCATGGAATATCATCAGAAGAGTCACATAAAACATTTTAACTATCAGACCAGAGACACATCCAACTTACAAGACGGCTAAATCCAAAAGAAGGAAGTAGGCAGTTGAGGAAGAGAACTACAATTTTTAAGGGTTGCACTGAAAATATCGAGCATGTCAATTGACACAGTAGAAAAGAACGATTTCCCGGCTTTTCTCTAATAGCATATACACACAGAAAAATGTATACTACTGGAATCTACCTACGATAACACATCAATATCGATATCACTTAGGGCCCGTTTGGAGCCGTTAATTAATATTCTACAGTTTTTTCAATTAAAAAAAACAATTTTAAAACAAACAGTGAGTTCTTAAGCCTAGTACTCAGACCGACAAATCGACCGATCTTTCAAGTGTGACCAAAATTTAGAAAGTTCATCGCAATTAAGCGTGCTACGGTCGTACTGTCGATCAGCTGGGTTTATTGACAAGCGGAAAAGAGCCTTTAAAAGATATTATCAACTACCTTGGCAAGACAAGTCTGCCGCTGCACAAAGAAATTAAAAAACAATACAATTTAAATTTAAAAGTTGTTTTTTTTAATTTACTGATCATTATTTGCTAATTTAAAGTTTATAGCTTCAATTTTATTGTGTTTTATCGTACATTTTTAACCTATGAAATATTTTGCTCTGACAAGAGGCAAATTAATACTAATGTTATTTTGTCCTCACATATGAACTCCGGCAATCGACTTTTGCGAGTTTTTTATTTTTTCCCTCCATTATTTAAAATGTTCAATGAGAAGCTCACGCCAAAAGATTACATTTTTTAATATTTTCGCTAGGGTTCACCCAAAGTTCATTTCCGCAGACTGGCAACGCTATGCAATTTTCTGGTATTTTTTCATCGATCTGAAGTCCTAGGTGACAAAAACCCTTGACGAAAAGTGTACGCCAGCTGTTTGCCTCTCGCTCTCTCTCATGACTGGCGTACAGTTTTCGTCGATCTGAGTACTAGGCTTTAACCAAGAATGCTTGATTTTATGGACTTTTAATATTCAGATTTAAGGGGTAGAGTCATTCATGTCAGTTAATTTTGAAGTGCTGGTGAATCTCTGAGTTCTTCTTCTTGACCGTGAAAATAAACAATAATGACGAGGAACTTTTGAAAATGGAATGCGCCAAATCAATAATTGCTGTTTATCCATCCGTGTGGCAGCAATAAGAGTTGCTCTACTCTTTTCTAAGCGCATATCGTATTCACAACATGGAGCAGAACACCTTGGAGAACGAGAGAATGTCCCCAGACTTATATTTGTGGTTTTCCTTTAACTATTAAAATAAATATATTGCAGGTCTTAAAGTATATGTAGTTTGTGAAGGCATAAGATGTGGACCCCGATGAAATGGAAGCCTGTGCACCGGAAGTCAACGCTCAGGCAGCTCTGCGGCCCCTACAAAGCGCGCAAAGGTGGACCTCAGGACCGTGCATGTGAAGATAGTGCTGGAGAAAGGCTGGGGGAGCAGCGAGTGCAGACCGAGATCATGCCATTGAATTGAGCTTGGCTCGCTGCCATCCTTGACATTAATGATAATAATAGATCACTTGCAGTCAGTTATCAAGAATCATTTATAACGCTGTTGTTTGAAATGTTGTATAAAATTCATCAGGCTATAATGATTAGCAACAGCTGTTCAGATCAGCTGTTATCGGATGGTGTGCCCTGTGGGAATCGGACTTTCACATTGTCCAAAATACAAACCAACGAATGGACTCTATGGGAAGGGGTATTAGGAAATAATTAACGTTGCCAGCCTCCAGAAATTAACTGTGGATGAACGTTCGTTAGGTCAGTCCGAAAAGTATAGAAAAAGTTTCTTTTAAGAATCTGTTGTCAGTAGAAAGTGTTTCTTGTGCTGCTATAAACTTTAAATTACCATATTATTAACAGTAAATTAAACAACAACTGCTTAACTGAAATTGAATATTCTTGCCAAGGTAGTTGGAGATATCCCTTAAGGGGTTATCCGGGTCTTGACACTTCAAAAAATTCATTTTTTTCAAACTTTTTTATATAATAGTACAAAGTGTCAGGAATGTTATCCGATCCGATCAAGTCGATCGAAGCAAAACTGTAGGAATGGGAGAAATTTAAAGCCCAGCGTACGAATGAGTCACAACTGGCAAATTGTGCTCTGGCGTCGAGCAGATGCGGCACTTTAAACGCGTTTTTCTCAAAACCACTTTTTTCAAGTCGGTAGTCACGTTTTCTCAAAAACAATTGCACCGATCGACTTCTGCTTTAGCACACTTCTTTTAGACATGTTTTTCTTGTCCTTAACGGAGGGATTTTATTTATTTTTAATTACAACTCATTTTATAAGTCAAAATATGGCCAAAATTTACGTAAAAAATGAAACTTTTTATGAAAAGCGCTACAAAAAATTCCATTTTTAATTTAAAAAAAATGTCGTATAGAGGACAAGCCAGACACATACAATATCAGAATAACTTTGGTTTTTTGATTTCAGATAAAAATCGACGAAGATATTTTGCCTACCGCAAGGACACAATTTTTTATGTGGTCGAGTTCAAGCCTGCCCCAACGGCTCAATTTTTTAAATTTTTGGTTCAAATTTTTACACAATGTTGGTCAAACCTTAAACATTAATGTACAATATATGAAATTTGTGTAATTGTCGTAAGATCTTTTAAAAAAATTCACGAAAATAGTCTTTTTTTCGTGTTTCAAGACCCGGATAACCCCTTAAGGGGGTCTTCTAGTCTGGAGGCTAGAATTTCGAGATTTTTTTAATAATTAATATAAAAAAAGCCATTGATAATCTTACCATCCGTGTGTTTTATCATTTGCTTTTTAAACTTAAAAGAAATAAATAAAATTTCAAAAAAAAATGTTTTTTTTTCATTAAGTTATTCGTTTTTGTAGAAGAGGGGGGGAAAAAGAGGCCGTGTCCTCGTCGCCATGATTTCTATGCTTGTCGTTATTTGAAAAATAAAACAATGATAGATTCTTAATGAGTACGAATGTCGCTATGGCATGAAGCACCAAAAAAGAAAACATTTTTATCATGAAATGGCGGCTACCCAAAGAAATCGATTTTTTCACTAATTTTTCAATTTTGTATAGTATTTAAAAATATTATAAATTTAAAATTTGTTGGTTCCGGCGATAGAGATAGATTTAAAGAATATTCATGACAAATTTCAAGTAAATCGACTGATTAGAACTTGAGATACAGTGGCGACCGCATCAAAAAAAGTAGTTTCGAAAAAAAACGCGTTTAAAGTTTTACGTTAAGTTTCGGGCAGCGTAGCTGATAGAATATTACGTATAAATTACATTCCATTAATCAGCTATCCCAGCTTCATACAATGACCTTTAAACGATTAGTGTAGTATACTGGAAATAGGGGTATTGTTATAGAAAGAAGGAGAAAAAGTTATTCATACTAAGGTACCCCGGGCTTCCATTTATTTATCCAGTCGTTCGCTCAACCGGTCTAGTTGCCACGTCACTAAAACGGCTATAACTTTGAAAATAATTTGAGTTTTGAAAAATCATTTTGGGGAGATATTTTTGAATATTAAAGCAATCGAAATATGGAATAAAAAATGTTTTCGAATTTCTTAAATTTCTAGACTAGAAGACCCCCTTAATGCCCTGTTCTCATACAGTCCATCCGTTCGAAACTGTTGGGATTTTTGACAAATGTGAAACTCCGATTCCCACAGAGCACATCCACCATCCGATAACAGCTGATCTGAACAGCACAACATTCCAAATGAGCACAACAGCGCTATAAATGATACTAAGTAACAGACTGCAAGTGTTCTAAGCGAATAACCAAATCGGATTAATATGTCTACCAGCCTGCAAAAAAAAAATATGAACAGCTATGGCCCAATATTGATTAAAGGATAACAAATCAAGTTCATTAAATATAAATATGTTTGTTTTCTTGTTGTATTTTTTCAGGGCCGCAGAGCTGCCTGAGCGTTGACTTCCGCTGCCGAGGCTTCCAGATCAGCAGAGGCTTCCAGAACCCTAGTACCTGCAATAAATATATATTATTAGTTAATTGTAAACCACAAATGTAATTCTGGGGATATGCTCTCGTTCTCCAAGGTTTTCTGCTCCATGTTGTGAGTACGGTATGCACCTAGGAAAGAGTGGAGTAACTCTTAATTCTGCCACTGCTTACAAGGGTTTATTTGAAATTAAATTAGGCAGTTTAATTTGAGTTGTCCATAGCTTACTAATATTTTTAGGTAGTAACTAGCAACAAGAACGAAAATGTAGCATGTTTTAGGTCTACAAATCTGAAAATCAATTTATTGAAGGCTGAACATTTCTGTTCCATTTCCGAGGATTCAGTAAGTTAGCAATATTGGAGAGAACCTACATGCCATAAGATATGTACATCAACAAATAACTGCTGCTAACCACCGTGCTTGCCTTTTAAATGCGCAAAAGTCAAAAGTGCCGGAGCATGTGAACAAGGATTCCAGCTTCTGGAACATTGTTATATTATGCGACGAGTCAAAATTTAATATTTTTGGATATGAGGGCTTTTAATGTTTGGCGAAAGCCATAGATAGAGCTGCAAACAAAATACATATTTAATTTACCAGACAACGGACAAGCCTGGTGGTGGGAGCTTCATCGTTTGGGCCTGTATGACGGCAGCTGGAGCTGGGGTTTTTCAGTTTGTGGAGACAACAATGTAAAGACTCTTCATTTAAACATATTGAAGTCAACTTTGCTGCAAAGTGCAGAAAATCTGGAGATTTGTGATAAAATCCGATTTTATCAGGACAAGAGCGTAAAATCTTTCAATAATGCCCTCTTCCCATAGAGTCCATCCGTTCGAAACGGTTGGGCTTTTTAACAAATGTGTAACTCCGATTCCCAGTTGTATGCCCTGCAGTACCGTTCATCAGCTTTTAATCGCTTTTTCATCACCGAAAATTCATCACTGCTGATTAATCATAGATGAATCTTCATACAAATTAGTGATGAGTTTAACATTGGATTGTCCTAGGAGTTAATCAGTGAAAAATTCATCACTCTTTAATCAGTAATTCATCACTCTTTTTTCAGTTTTTCATCACTCTTTAATCAGTAATTCATCACTCTTTGCACAGCGTTTACTGATGAACAAGTGATTAAAATGCTATGAAATAGTGATTAACGAGTGATGAAATACTGATTAAAGAGTGATGAATTCATCACATTTTCATCAGTAATTCATTACTCTTTAATCAGTAATTAATCCCTTTTTCATCGCTTTTTCATCGCATTTTCATCGCTTTTTCATCGTTTTTTCATCGCATTTTCATCGCTTTTTTCATTAATAAAATTCTTTCAGTAAATTTTCATATAAATTTATTTTTTTATTTTATTACATTATTTCATTATTATTTCATTTATTTTATTACATATAACTAATTAATTTAACTTAATTCAATCTACATATGTACGTTTTCAGTTGTCTCGGAGGTGATGAGGATGTTTCAGTTTCGGTGCCCTTTTTTTGACTTAGTGCTTTATGTACTGGCTCTTCCTGACCAAGTATATCTAAAATAGAAAAATTATTATAATATATATAAAAACTTACTGCGTTTTTTGTTTTGCCGCCGGCCAAGTCCAGCATAGTTTATGCTGGCCCAACAGTTTTATTATAAGCTTCGCCTTAAATAATGAATAAATATATTAACAGTATATGTAGGTACAGTTCAAAAAAAATAATAAAATAACACTTACCTAAATTTCTGATAAATTTAGTTATAAAATTTCACAAAAAATCTCAGCTTCGATCTGTTCTCTCCGTTCTCTCAAAGGCAAGTGCACCTAAAAACCGCGAAAACAACTTCAGTTGAAAACAAGGGCGCCGTTTATCCTATTGTTCTTTCCTTTGCCTAATTTGTCCTTACATGTTTCGCTTCGCGTCAAAGCAGGGTATATAAAAGCATGTCCGACTATGAAAAATAATCACATAACTTAAATTCACTTAAAAAAGGAATCAATACCTTTTAAAACTATCATAATAATTTTATTTTTAAAAAGTATTTCCATAAAATAATATAATTAATAAGAATCAACGACTACAATACAAAAATTATGCTAATTTATTTTCAAGGGTGTATAAAGGTCGATCTGATTTTAATAAATTGTCCTCCACCTCTCAGCTCATTTTATGGGGAGAGAGACAGAGTAAGAGAGGGAGATGGAAATTCTGCGTTGTCTATGATCGGGGACTAAGAGTTTCGGCTCTGCCTGCGTCGCACTCGGCTCTGCCGTCGTCGCAATCCGCTGCTGATTAAACGGTGATGAATTTTTGTAGTGATGAATTTCGGAACTGCAGGGTGGTTTGTGGTTGTACACAGTCAACACACAAGCTGTACAGCGTGTTTAAAAAAGGACAAATGCTGTACTCACTCACGAAGACTACAACCATATACCAAAGACCAATATAAACTCAGATCGACGAAAAAAATACCAGAAAATTGCATAGCGTTGCCCGTCTGCGGAAATGAACTTTGGGTGAACCCCAGCGAAAATATTAAAGCCTAGTATCCAGATCAACAAACGATTACGCTAGCGTAAAAACTTTAATCTTTCCAGTGTGACCAAAAGTTTGAGAGTTCATCAGATTTAAGCGTGCTACGGTCGTACTGTCAATCAGCTGGGTTTGTTGACAAGCAGTTAAAATTCAAATATCGTATTTGCGGGAAAGAGCCTTTAAAAGATATTATCAAATACCTTGGCAAGACAAGTCTGCCGCTGTAAAAAGAAATTAAAAACAATACAATTTAAATTTAAGAGTTGTTTTTTTTATGTACTGATACTTATTTGCTAATTTAAAGTTCATAGCTGCACTTTTATTGTGTTTTTTCGTACATTCTGGACCTAAAAAACATTTTGCTCTGACAAGAGGCACCCCAGATAGTATTAATGTTATTTTGTCCTCACATGTAAACACCTGTAATCGACTTTTGTGAGTTTTTTGAGTTTTTCCCAACATTTCTTATAATGTTCAGTGAGAAGCGCACGCCAAAAGATTAAATTTTTTAATCTTTTCGCTAGGGTTCACCCAAAGTTAATTTCCGCAGACTGGCAACGCTGTGGAATTTTCTGGTATTTTTTTCGTCGATCAGGGGACCGACGTGAAAAAAAGGCCCGACGAAAAGTGAACGCCAGCTGTTTGCCTCTCGCTCTCTCTCATGACTGGCGTACGGTTTACGTCGAAGTGCTAGTATCCAGCTTAAAAATTTAATCTTTTGGCGTGCGCTTCTCACTGAACATTATAAGAAATAGAGGGAAAAACTCAAAAAACTCGCAAAAGTCGATTGCAGGAGATTACATGTGAGGGCAAAATAACATTAATACTATCTGGGGTGCCTCTTGTCAGAGCAAAATGTTTATTAGGTCAAAAATTTAAGAAAAACACAATAAAAGTGCAGCTATGAACTTTAAATTAGCAAATTATTATCAGTATATTAAAAAAAAACAACTGTTAAATTTAAATTGTAGTGTTTTTAATTTCTGTGTACAGCGGCAGACTTGTCTTACCAAGGTAGTTGATAATATCTTTTAAAGGCGCTTTCCCGCAAATACGATATTTAAATTTTAACTGCTTGTCAACAAACCCAGCTGACTGACAGTATGACCGTAGCACGCCTAATTGCGATGAACTCTCGAAATTTTGGTCACACTGGAAAGATTAAAGTTTTTACGCTAGATGTCGATATGGTGGTATTCATTTTGAAGCCAATAAATGCGGGTTTTTACTGTTGTCCTCAAGGATTTTTACCTCCTCTCTGCTTGTTAATGTTTTACGATGGCCAGAACGGGGTAGATTTTCTAGGGAATTTCTGCATTTTATTCGAGAAAAGCCTAGTACTCAGATCGACAAAAACAGTTCGTCAGTCATAAAAGAGCGGGTGAAGCAAACAGCGAGCATACAGTTTTCGAGAGCCTTTTTTTCACCTTAGTACTCAGATCGACGAAAAAAGCTCAAGAGAATTACTTCCCGTTGCCAACCACCTGAAATAAACTTTTGGTAAACCCTAGCGTAAAGATTAAAAAATTTAATCTTTTGGCGTGCGCTTCTCACTGAACATTTTAAATAATGGAGGGAACAAACAAATCAAAAAACCCGCAAAAGACGATTGCAGGAGCTTACATGTGAGGATAAAATAACATTAATACTATCTGGGGTGCATCTTGTCAAAGCAAAATGTTTCGTAGGTCAAAAATGTACGAAAAAACACAATAAATTAGCAAATAATGATCAGTTTTTTAATTTAATTGTACAGCGGCAGACTTGTATTGCCAAGGTAGCTTATAATATCTTTTAAAGGCTGTTTCCCGCAAATACGATATTTGAATTTTAACTGTATGTCACCAAACTCAGCTGATTGATAGTACGAGCGTAGCACGCTTAATTCTGTTGAACTCTCGTAATTTTGGTCACACTAGAAAGATTAAAGTGTTTAAGCTAGCGTACTCGTTTGTCGATCGGAGAACTAGGCTTTAGATGAATATATATTAGATCGTTCGAGTCAAATGACTCTTATACACTTAAATTTCTCATTTTAATTTTTAATGACACATCTTTTGGCGGTTCCATTGTACGCTTATGTCACATTGTGTCTTTTCTGTGTAGGAAACCTCTGTCTGAGGTATTAACGTGGGAATACACACGGAAACAATATAGAAAAATCTGGTGAAGGCAGTACATAAATTATATTTGGTTTCGTATTGCTTACTTGTCATTTTAAAGTAGCCCTATGTTATCGATAATTTAACATAGAAATAAACATTTTCGGGAGATGAAGCCTATGCCGAAGAAATTTTAAACAATTCAAAATATATTAATGTATTAAAATGTTCTATGAACACATAATTTTGGCCAAGAAAGGCCCGTTGGCCAGGATCTGGCTAGCAGCACATTGGGACAAAAAGATTACAAAAGCCCATGTGTTTGAAACTAATATTGAAAAATCGGTGGAAGGTATTTTGCAGCCTAAAGTAAAATTAGCGCTAAGAACGTCTGGTCATTTGTTGCTGGGAGTTGTGCGCATATATTCAAGGAAAGCAAAATATTTATTAGCTGATTGCAATGAAGCATTTGTTAAGATTAAGGTAGGCTATATTTTTCAAAGATTTAAACGCATATGTAATACTTCTCTGTTTAGATGGCATTCCGACCAGGCCTGGTCGACCTACCAGAAGGTCACAGAGAAGCGAATGTTAATGCAATAACACTTCCTGAAGTTTTTCATGACTTTGATACGGCGTTGCCTGAATTAAATGATATTGATATTGAAGCACAATTTTCTATTAATCAGTCTAGAGCTGACGAGATAACAATGAGAGAAGATTACGGCAGCCTGTCACTCTCCCTACAGGATGATGGCTTTGGTGATATTGGTTTCGAAGCGGAAGCACCAGAGATTATGCGAGGATCAGTATCTTCAAATATCAATGTAAGTTTGTATTATTATAGTCTATTCCTGGAGATTCCTGCGAAAATCGAATTATTGAGGTGTTTTCCAGATAACACTTTTATGAAATGGTAAAAGATGCTCTAAATTACTCAAAGTTCACGATTTCCAAGTTTTTAAGTGTAGCAAACTTGTTTCCGCATTGGAAAAAAATGGATTTTTTTAAAATTTCTGTAAATAGTTCCTAATGAAGACGTATATGGATTACCATATTAGATTGTAGACTATGGGCCTAAGAACAAATTGGCTTGCAGAACCAGCAACCCTTGCGCTGCCACCATTATGCTTTAAGGACGTTCAGGCACAGATTTAACTGATTGTACAACGAAAATATAGTAATTTTCAAAGAATAGCATTTCAATTTGGCCAAATCCGAATGGCAACACTTTATTTTGGTTGCTGATCTTAAGCCTATAACAGACTATTAGCCTATGATATAAACTAATATGCCTTCTTTAGTTATTTATATAAAGCTAGCTTAAGTTTTAAAACTATGAACTAACAAGAAAGGAAAGCTAACTTCGGGCAGAGCCGAAGTTGAAATACCCTTGCAGAATATTCTGTAAATTATGTTCTCCAAAATTATTTATATGATGCATTCTTAACACTCATAAAAATCCCAAATTCCTAACTTTAAAAACACCAAAATTATGCCATTTCCAATCGTTCAGTTATATGGCAGCTATAGGATATAGTCGTCCCGATCCTTATGAAATTCGGTAAGTCGGATTGATTTGCCAAAAATAAAACCCATAGAAAATCCCAACTTCCTAACTTTAAAAACACAAAAGTTATAAGTTTTCCGATCGTTCAGTTATATGGCAGCTATATGATATAGTCGCCGGATCCGACTTATATACTACCTGCAATAGAAAAACAACTTTTGGGAAAGTTTTAAGCAGATAGCTTTAAAACTAAGGGACTAGTTTGCGTAGAAACGGACGGACGGACAGACGGACATTGCTAGATCGACTCTCCTGGTGATGCTGATCAAGAATATATATACTTTATAGGGTCGAAAATGTCACCTTCACTGCGTTGTAAACTTTTGACTGAAATTATAATAACCTCTGCAAGGGTATAAATATACTAAGAGCTTTAGCAGCTGAGGCCTTCCGCTCGTCTGGGATGACAGTATTAATTTAATTTAAAGAAATGAGATAAATTTTAAATAACACAAATGAGTTGGGCTTTTTGAAGATATGAAATGATTACACCCGTTACTCGTAGAGTAAAAGAAATACAATATCGTGCAAAAGTATGTAACAGGTAGAAGGAAGCGTTTCCGACCCTATAAAGTATATATATTCTTGTTCAGGATCACTAGCCGAGTCGATCTAGCCATGTGCGTCTGTCTGTCCGTCCGTATGAACGCTGAGATCTCGGAAACTATAAAAGCTAGAAGATTGGCATTTTGCATGTAGATTTTAGGAGTTCCTACGCAGCGCAAGTTTGTTTCAAAATGGTGCTACGCCCCCTCTGACACCCACAAGCCACAAGCTGTGGCCACAGTTTTGATGCTATTATGAAAATTTTAATTGATATGTATTTGTTTCGTCAATACCTATCGATTGGCCTAATAAAAGTTTGCCACGCCCACTCTAACGCCCAAAAACCCATTAAACGCTTAAGCCTGGCTAGCGCCTACATTTACGCCTTTCATGGCCCGTGGTACCAATGTCTTGGGGTAGATGGCGCAATACAATAGCGCCATCTAACGGATGACTTTGGAACAGCTGGCCAAGGTGCTCAACAGAATCAACGTTAATTTTGGTTTGAAAGACCCCGTTGCAAATCAACGGCCTCCACGTGGTATTCCCTGGGTACCGATTTTAACATAAAAATCGGGAGCTAATTCGAGCGGCGAAAAACATACAAGAAGGCATATTTATATTAAGTTGTTTAGCTGAGTAACGGGTATCTAATAGTCGAGGCACTCGACTATAGCGTTCTCTCTTGTTATACCCTTGCAGAGGGTATTATAATTTTGGTCAAAAGTTTGCAACGCAGTGAAGGAGACATCTCCGACCCTATAAAGTATATATATTCTTGATCAGGATCACCTCCTGAGTTGATATAGCCATGTCCGTCTGTCCGTCTGTCTGTTTCTACGCGAACTAGTCTCTCAGTTTTAAAGATATCGAATTGAAACTTTGCACACACCCTTCTTTCCTTTGCACGCAGTATATAAGTCGGAACGGCCGGGATCGGCCGACTATATCCTATAGCTGCCATATAACTGATTGATCGGAAATGCCATAACTCTGCTGTTTGTTAAGTTAGGATAGTTGGGATTTTCTATGGGTTTTATATTTGGCCAATCAATCCGACCTACCAAATTTTATAAGGATCGGCCGACTATATCTTAAAGCTGCCATATAACTGATTGATCGGAAATGCCATAACTTTAGTGTTTGTTAAGTTAGGAAGTTGGAATTTTCTATAGGTTTTATTTTTGCCCAATCAATCCGACATATCAAATTTCATAAGGATTGGCCGTTTATATTCTTAGCTGCCATATACATAACTGAACGATTGGAAATGCCATAACTTTGGTGTTTTTAAAGTTAGGAAGTTGGGATTTTTTATGAGTATTAAGAATCGAGAGGTAGAAACCTGAGTACGACCACCATTCTTTAATTTTTTGGAAGACAGATGTTATATTTGTAGAGGTGTTTTTTTCTTATTGTATTCTATGATTATGTGGAAATTGTCTGCCTAGGCCGTAAACTAAAGTTGTCTAGGGATGGAAATAATGTTACAAAGGGAGTTGTAGGCAATTAGGAATAGGATAACAGAGATGGGGGATGTAGGATTCCGTTGTCAAGAGGGTAAGCGTTGGAAAGTGAGATTCCGTTTTTGACAATGAATTTTCTTTTGTTCATAAAGTTAGCCACGTATTTTAGTATTTGGGGGGCCTACTTTCCATTTTTGGAGTTGGTGGATGAGGGATTGAATATATTTTATCAAAGGCTTTTGAGATTGTTAGATGATCTACATATAGTGGACTGTCAGGACAGATTTCCTCTTTTAAAACCGAGTTGGTTGTTGTGAATGAGTTTGTTGGTTAAAACAAACCACAACAATCTTTTACCAATGACTTTGTCCAGAACTTTTGCTAAACATGGGTTTAGGGCTATAGGTCTGTATGATTTGGGTGCGATTTGGAGTTTTTGGGGTTTTAAAATAGGGAGGACTAGCCAAAGTTTGTAAGATTGAGGGATGTTAGAGTTGAGGATATTATTAAAGTGTTGTAAAATTTGGAGTTTAAAAGGGGAAGGTGTGTTTTTATACCCTTGCAGAGGGTATTATAATTTCAGTCAAAACTTTGCAACGCAGTGAAGGAGACATTTCCGACCCTATAAAGTATATATATTCTTGATCAGCATCACCAGGAGAGTCGATCTAGTCATGTCCGTCTGTCCGTCCGTCTGTCAGTTTCTACGCAAACTTGTCCCTCAGTTTTAAAGCTATCTGCTTGAAACGTTCCCAAAAGTTGTTTTTCTATTGCAGGTAGTATATAAGTCGGAAAGAGCCTATATTTGGCCAATCAATCCGACCTACCAAATTTCATAAGGATCGTTCGACTATATCCTATTACCGCCATATAACTGAACGATTGGAAATGCCATAACTTTGGTGTTTTTAAAATTAGGAAGTTGGGATGTTTTATAAGTATTAAGAATGCATCATATGAATAATTTTGGAGAATATAATTTACAGAATATTCTGCAAGGATATATCAACTTCGGCTCCGCCCGAAGATAGCTTTCCTTTCTTGTTTATCATGCAGTAGGAGTTGCGATCCTTTGAGGGAGTTGAAGGCAGATAGAAGTTATATTAGCCTTATGTCTTTTTCTATTTCTAGCGCTGAGTGGCATGAAAAGAAGTTTGTTGTGTAGTTGACCAGGCTCTTATTTGATCTGAATGTAGTAGAAAAATGATTTGATCTGAATGTAGTAGAAAAATTTGAGTTCCCAGCTTCTTTTGACCAGTCGTTACCGAAGATGCTTGGTATTTCTGATGGATTTTTTGGTGTGAGTTTGGGTGAAAGGGTTCTAGATAGTGTGGATATATTTAGTGGGATAGAGTCCGCATAAACTTTTAATGTTTGCCCACACTCTAGATGGGTCAGAGTTGGGTTGGATTTCGGAGGTGAAGTTGTTGATGGCTGTTTTATTTGGCTTCCCTAATTGCTCTTTTGTACTTGTCGTTGGCTTTTTTGAATTTAACTATATTTTCTGAACTAATGTTAGCTTTAAGCAGCTTCCATTATGTGTTTTGTATGTATTTAAGGAAAGCTATGCCTTTGTTTCACCAGGGGACGGTACTTTTGAGGGTAAGTATAGAGTTTTAGGGTTTAGAGAGGTGGGCATTTTGAATTATTACTTTTTAAATCATTACAGCTTCTTTGTTTATATTGTTGGTAGGTTTATGATCTGAGTTGTAATTTAAGATATTGTTCCTACTCTTCTGCAGTTGGCCCTGGGGGATCCCCATTAAGTGTGCCAGCTGTTGAAGTCATGACTGGTGTGGGTAGGTTTGTTGGGGATAGGACGTTTTGTAGGTTGTTTAGGTTAAAGTGCTATGCTATAGGTCTTATAGCTTCAAGATCTGGACCTAGTTAGTGGATGTTGTGAGTGGGAAATGGATTTATGCTTTATTTGGGGTTGTGCCTGTAGCTGCTGTAAATTAAATAGTTTATGGGAATTGGGAGTGATGTAGTGTGCGATAAGTGTGTTTATTGTAGGGCTATTACATGTGGATTAAATTGTTTAATAAGTAATTTTAGTTCGGTATAGTTATTTCAATAACCTTTAATGTTCCACTGGATTATTTTAACCGTTTTTATAATTTATAGGGGTGTGGGTAGATTAATTTGTTTCCATATCACAGGAGTCGCTGGAATTGGATTTGATCTTTTTGTTAGCGTTTTTTTTTTTGCGGCTTTGAGAGATGCTAGCATCCCTGTAGAAAGTCGA